ATCCCTAAATGATTGATTTTGCTCAAAGATTCACCTCACCCAAAACGTAAACATGAGCCTGTACAAATGACTCTAAATAACAAGAGCAGGGTGCAACAATAGCAGGTTGACAACTTGGCATCCTCCCCCCAGCCAGCACCAGAGAGGCCTGTGTTTACTTTGGGGTGCCACAATTTCACACAGGATTTAGAGACCTTGCAGGAGGTCTTAAGAATTCCTTATATATTAAATCATGAGACACTCTTTATATTTCTAAAAAGTGGTGAGTTTCAATAACAGTGTAAATGGGATATCTATGGTAGGGTTTGTTTAAATATTATGAACAACTTTTCCCCATTTTAACTGTCAACAGGGGAAAGGGCAAACTCTTTAAGGTTCTCCAGGGCAGTGTAGGTTTCATTGAAGAGCACGTTGAATAAAGGTCCTGTACAGAAATGCATTTCTATGTGCGAATAAAAAACACCATCACTGAGTCGATGGATCTCTATGCTCAGAGATCCTCCAGTAGTACAGGTCAGTTGAGAGATTAGTAACCAAGGAATGGTCCCATAAGACAAATGAGAAAAGTGAGTGCTAAAAATCTTGTGTGGAGAATAGAATGTTAGCCTTCACGATCCTTCTATATAAAATTCCATAATATTTTTTTGAAATATGCAACTATGAAATACCTATTCCTGGAGGTTTCTCTTTCCCCCGAGAAATTGTCTAAGGTTATAAGGTGATCTTGCTCTTAATTCATAATTGTTTTAATTCAGTGCAAGCAATTTGAAAATTGAAAACAATATTTCAGACCTTCTTTAAAGGAAAGAAACATTTATTTGTATAGAAATTCAATATTTCCCAGTTCATATTTTTTTACTATTGACCAAGGTAATGATCAATACAGCAGATGTCCAATAAAATCTTAAGTGCTAATTCAAAACACGTGTGCTAGGATTGACGCCAGGAGCATTGCACTAAGAAAAAGCGAATGATGTAAAAACCGACAGTAAAGAGGAAATACACTTCCCTCAATGAAAATCAAAGACGCTTTTGTGATGAGAATGGTCGCTCAGAAGCTTTCTTCGTATCGAGTCCTCAAGAAAGTTAAACACCATCCTAGGATGTAGACGCTTGACCTGAGCAGGAAACAATTCTAGGATGCAACAGAAATGATGTGTCTTTTTCTTCATTTCTCAACCTCTCAAATTCTGTAGCCACAGAGGAGCACTTGAGAGTAATAAATTATCTGCATTATACTTACAAAAGCCAGAAAATCATGGGAAATTCCTACCCTAACATCTTACCCTACATTGGGGACAGTAGCATATGAGTCATGTACTAAAAGTGGTTATGTTATAAAAAGTTGCCAGTTTTCAAAAGTCCTGCTCTGTATTTTCAAAAGAGAACTAAAATGTATGGAAAATATTCTCAATAACTGCGAGGGAACATTATTAAAAAGAATACGAATTGTTTTAGTTTTGTTTTTCCTTTAAAGTGATTTTAGGATTTTTGTACTGTGTTTCAGAAAAGGGTGAATAATCTTTTATGTTCTCTTTGAAAGTTCCTTTGAGATGATTATTCATTAAATATAATATCACACACAAACAGAACCTTACATATAAACTGTTGTTTTAAGTAATAAAATAAATTTATTTTGTTTTGTTTATTATTTAGCTGAACAGATGGGAATGATTTTGACACAATTTGGTTTCCTCTTCTCTTTATTTTCTTGTGAAAAATAGAAACAAAACCCCAAAATCAGAGCTTCTTTTCCCATTTTGTCCCAGCTGGTTACCAATCAATCTCAATTCATGGTACAGCGCAGACAGTACATGTTGTCCGGGGGCCAAATCTGATTCGGCTGCAGTTTTCAGCAGTGTTTCATATCAGAGGGGGGGAAAAAAAGGTATCTCTTTGGTGGGGACTGTCAGCACACGATTGTGCAACCGTCATTAATCAAACCTGGCAACAATGACTCCATTCATACAAGTCAGAGACTGGTGGGTGCACAATCAGAATCACCCAGGATCTGTGAGAATTTCCTGGCCAGTAATATTTTTCCTTCTGTTTCTTTCTTCTGTCTTGTTCGTGTTTGAAATCTAGGCAAGGCGTCTACATGCTGGTTGTATATATTCTTAGACCATTTGAAAATAGAGTTGTTTCATGCCCCAGTATGCTTCAGGCATTTCAGCTGATGTTCGGCCACCTAAGCCTGTTACAGAGCAAAGGACAGCCTGCTTGGTAAAGTGGAGGAGCAGCCAAGAAGAGGAAGACCCAGGATCAGCACACCGACACCGTGGCTGCAACAATGGGCTCAGGCATAAGGAGGATGGCCAGGAGGCCACAGGATGGGGCAGTGTTTTGTTCTGTTGTAACCGGGTTGCTATGGGTTGGAATTGACTCTGGAGCACCGAACAAGAAGGATTAATGAAGGGTGAAAATTCAATGTCTTAGATGGTTTAATGAAAGAACAATGCTAAAGACCATGTACATGTATGTCATTTAAACAATTCTGAACAGCTTATGTTTATTGCCTTGGTTTTAGAATACTATTGAGAAAAATGTTGGTAATGTTATGACTCTCTGGAGTTTTTGCAACTCTGAACACAAAATTGCTGATATAGAAAAATGAAAGTATCCAAATGAAACTGTACACAGACCAGTAAGCACATTATCAAATGGAGAGGCGAGGCATTGCCCTACATTAGAAAAACAACATATCAATTGAAGAGGATATGGGTTTGCTTTATAATTTGAGACAGCAATCTAAAACTCTTCTCTAATATGGTTTTTTAAAATAGACAACTTGTCTAATGCATTCATTGCTGTCCAGTCATATATTAAACCTAGCTATAAATTATAAAGATTTCTTTAACAGTGAAGAATTATTATTGATCTTTTTGTATCATTCTAGTCAATATGTGCTTTCAAGAGAAAAATGAACATTTCCCCCAATTATTCTATTTAATTGTATAAAGTATCTGTGAGCTTCTTATTAGGCATACACCAATTTATCTAGAAGGAAATTCAAGAAATAAGGCCACGTTTATTGGATCTGTGGAAATATTTGACACCTAATTGCTTATGAAATGAGGTCATTTTAGGGAGAAAACTCTTCCCTCAGAGAAAGCATGGCTGACTACAGAAAGCAGATCCTGGTGGGAGATGCTCATGAGGCTTTCTACTAGACTACAACCACAGTGTGAGGCCTTCGGAAAGAACTTGGTCATGTTTTGCCATAGATGGCCTAAATGTGACTTGAATAATCAGACAAAGAGTTTACTTCCTGTTGTGATTAGACAGATTTTTTTTAAAACCAGTTCTCATATTTCATGCTTTACCTAGCAACTTTTGCAGGTGAGGCTTGATCTAATCACAGAGATCATTCTATCATCTTACTGGCTTCAGATACCTCTTAATGTGGAAAAAGATTCTGAAAAATATATATTATTATGTCACTGCCCCCTGCATTCTTTGTGCTCCTTTCAGTGTTGGCACAATGGTTTGGCGTAATGGTTACTCACTGGGCTGCTAGCCGTATGGTCAGCAGTTTGATACCACCACCGCTACCTGAGAAAAAAATGGATTTTTCAACTCCCATAGATTAAGTCCCCAAGTTCACAGGGGCAGTTCTGTCCTGTCCTATAGGGTCACTGTGGGTCGGCATCGACTTATGACAGTCAGTTTGGCTTTTGGTCCATTGTATTCATGTGTCAGTTGGTAAGGAGTGGATTCCTGCATTGTATTATTTAGATAGCCAACTGCAAGACATTCAAAGATAACAGCAAGTTATTAATCACAAGTCTTCAACGTAGGGTGATTCCCTAGGGAATAGGGTAAACAACTAAGGGCTGTGGTTGTTTTATTGTATCAAGAGGCTGAGGTGCCCCCTGCTTCAAAAAGAAGGCTATGATTAGCTTGTTTGAATGATTCTAAGGCTGGCGGGTCTGGGTAATGCAGAAAGGGTAACCATTCAAACCCACGTAGCTGCTCTGCCTCTGCCAGTGTTAGGCTGGTGATTTATTCCCATAAAGAGTTCTCGTTGTTAGCTGCCATCCAGTCAGCTGTGACTCTGAGACTCTACGCACTAAAGAAGGACATGCTGCCCAGCCCTGAGCCAGTGTCACAACCATTGCTGTGTTTGAGCACATTGTTGTAGCGTTGTGTCAATCCTCATTGGCGCTCTTCATTCCATTTTGCTGACCCTTTACCAACCAAGATGTCCTTCTCAAGGTACTGGTCCTTCTCAATGACATGTCCAAAGCACATGAGACAAAGTTTTGCCATCCTTCCTATAAAGGAACTTTCTGTCTATACTTCTTCCAGGACAGCATATAAAGGTGGTAAGAATGTGCATGCACAAAAATCACTCAAAAGCCTGCCATTGCTTCTGAGGGTCATATTGCTTTTTATTTTGAAAACATAAGTGTCTTCCCATATTTTAGCCAATGAGCTCCTTTAATCTGAGTATATTTCAGCTCTTAAATTCCAATGTCTGGCAAAATAATTTTATTTAACATGGTGAAACTTGCAAAATAATTGATTACACCTCAAGAAGAAACTAAAATGTCTACTCTTTTTCTCATTAAGAACAATGAAGTGAAGATAAACCTATACCAAGGTTTTGGATAACTTTGAAAATATAGACAACATATCCAAACATCGATAAGCACAACTCAAGTGCCTGGAGTCAGAATGTGAAATCGATGATCTGATTAGAAACGCCTTTACCCTAAGAAAAGACAGCCAGCACAGATGATGGCTATTTGATGTGCGATCCATGTATGTGTGTGTGCTTTACATAAAGACCAGCATCAAGAAGGGGAAATGAATGTTTGAAGCCCCCTGATTTCATTACTATCAAATACATGTGGCTGTTCAGTGTCACCCCTTTCAAAGATCCTCTACATGTTCGGTCCCCTAGTTTGTCATTTTATACTAGTAGAGACTTTTGAAATCCTCCTTTGAAAAAATACAAGCGACCATCCTTAATAAAGTCCCAATTCTGTTCTCCACAGATATGACATCAAAGATGACCACACACTGAGAATCAAAAAGGCCACGAGTGCCGATGAAGGCACCTACATGTGCGTGGCTGAGAATCGCGTGGGCAAAGTGGAAGCCGTTGCAACTCTCACTGTCAGAGGTAAGGGACTTAGGTGGCGAAAATTAGTGAACTGGAAGACTAATATTTGCTTACATTGGTAAGTAAACTCACAATCACAGTACCAGCTTTTACCAATTTATTATCATCTGACAAGACCTAGGTCCTGCGACCTCTCTCGCATTCATTGAAACGAAGCTCCTTACACGTCAGATATTGAAGGGATGGTCGTCTGAAGGAATCATTTTTTTTCATTCAGTACCTCATAACTTATGTGGCTTAAAGTTAATTTTATATGGTTTAAAGCAATTTTCTAAAAACCAAATTATGCTACTTTAGATATAGTCTCATTCCTGTCAAATAGTTACTGCTTTTAAGTGTTACCAGTTTCAAAGATCCTCTAAAGGTCCTGTCCCCTAGTTGTTCGCTCTATCCTAGCAGAGGATCATTCTGACATCCCCTCCCCCCACCCCGCCCCCACTTAAAAATGCATCCTTCTAAAAAGCAACTTGAGAAATTACCAACATGGCTTTCCAAAAGTGGAAAGACATCTGACGCTGCTCCCAGCACGGAGATCATCTGATGTAGAGAGTGGTTTGTGAAGTTCATTGGCCTTAAGTAATTGAAGTAGTCAGGGCCGAGCTTGTAATAACTTTCACTTTCTGAGTGTCATGCACTTTCTCAGTCGCAGAAGAGTGCTCATTTATAGACTTGCTGGATTTGCTTATAAATGAAAGAATGCATGACCATAGAGTTGATCCATAGGGTGAATTTGCCACCTTAGTAGTGGAGCATGCTCATCCACAGGAGGTAAAGTAAATGATCCCAGGTACCAGGTAAGGGCCAGGCAGCTGGCAACATTTACTCTGACATCGCTTACACTCAAATGATTTCAAAAGAGGCAAGCAAGCCCGGTGTTTGTTCAGCCATTCAACCTTCCCCTGCATCGTTTATGGGGCAGCCTCTTCCAAATCTCCTTAGCCATAATGAGATTGGCTGGATATTTTCATTCAGGTCTCCGTTCAGTAGGATACATCCTGTCCTACTGAGTTATAGTTCTTATGCTGTGCAGCTTTGCTTTGGGAAAATGTCATGAGAGTAGAATGGGTTGGAAGTTTACAAAAGTTACAGGTACTGTGTTGGGTATCCTCAGATTGGTCATCCACCTGCTGAGGAAAAAAAAAAAAGGTTTTGTTGTTTCGTTGTGGCCAGATCTATATTTTGGGCTTTAAATCCCCAAAATGCATCCTCCCCGGGCAATTATTAGAAGACAGGTACCAGGTACGTTGGATTTCTTGATTGGCGCTTGCCGTACTTCTCAATAGTTCAATTCCTATTCCACTCAACTCCCGATTTCCCCTTCAGACACTGCTGTGAACTGAGAAACGACTACGATTTGGATAAAACTGATAAAACTTGCTTAAAAAGCGTGCTTGCTTTCTTCAATTAACAGTTTATAGATTAATATAACCATATTACAATCCTAGATCTCTACATATTCTGGTAATATATGATGAAAGAGTGGATACCCTGTGTATGTCAGGGGATACTGCTTACTCTATCAAACCTATATTCTCTTAAGGTGATGAAAAACATATTTGATGTATATGCCCATGGTCATGAAAAATCCATTTCCTCTTTTTGGTGTAAAAAGTCCATTAGCTTTTAATTCCACTTTACACAACTTTCTTGAAGCCCCGTGTATATGTAATAGCTATTTGTTTTCAACGTGGTGGCCCTTTACAAAAATATTTACTTGACCCAATTATCACCAAAGTTTGTTTATTTCATCTTTATGAAATGATGGCGCGGGGATAAATAAACAACCAACAAGAAATGCTCCATTTTGAAAACTGTTTGCTGACTAAACAAATGGAGAGAACCCAGGAGGAGTTCTGTGTTTGCTGAGGCAACAGCGATGCTTTTCTAGTCGAATGCTCGCATGAATGAGACTGGAAGTCCACTGTTTATGTTCCGACCCAGCTAATTGCTTTCATAATTTGCTGAACGGTTCAGGTTTAAAGTTTCGTTTAACAAAGAATCCTCCACAGGAATGGTCATTTGAACCCAAATTGCAAAACTGATAAAGAAATGTGTTTGTTTTTAATAGAATTTTTGTTTTTTAAATAAACAAACCCTAAATTCCCTCTCCCTTCTTCTGTGTCCTGTGAGTGGACTCCAGTTTTCTCAGTATGGTATGTGATTTTTAACTCATCTAAGACTGAAACCTCAAAAAACAAGGTTAGAGCAAAAAGAAGGGAAGTAAGAAAGCCCCATAATGTAACATAATGTAAAGTAAATATTGTATAAGATGTTTTTCAGCTAGAGCATTTGGGACTTCTTGTGCTAAGAGGTTAACAGGGGGAAAATGATCTATAATTCTTATCTTTCTACAGTCTTTTTTCTATGCACAAAAATGAAACGATCAGCCTCTTTCTGAATTGTTGTATTAGAGCAGAGTCAACTGACCCAAGAGCCACTTTCATTTTCAATCCTTTATTGCGTTGTACAGCTGACATTCAGTTGCTTATTTTTGAAAGCACCTACCTGCTTGTCAACCCCATCACTATGCCCAGGAAGAAATGTCACTATTTAACAAAGAACTGAAATTTTTGTTTTGCCATTTTACCTAAAATATCATTACAAAATTAACTTAGTCAATTCGGGGAAAGGTAATTGAGTTTTATAGTCAACATCTTACATAGAAACCTAGTCAGCTTTTTTCTTTTCAAAAATATGATTATATCAACTACAAAATGAAAGTTAACAAGGAGCTTCCCTGTGCTGACTCAACAAAGGTGATAGTGCAAAGAAATAATTCCAGCAAATAATAAACCTTGTATTTTATTTTAATCGAATAATTCATGTTCTAATGGGATTTTGTTTTTAATGACCAGCCAAATTACCTACTCCACTGGGGGGGAGGGGGGTTCTCTACATAAAGTGAAAGAAGAATTTGGGTTTTTACTTAAAGGGTTATTTTTTTTTTTACTATTTTTCTTATCCCCCTTGATAAACACACAGAATGTCTCCTCTCATCCAAATGGAAACATTCTTCTGAATTTCAGCTTAGATGACAAAAGAAAATACACAAATGCAAAGGTGGAAACAAAGCATCTTTTCTTCTGGTCAAACGCAAAAGTACAAGAGCAATTTCAGAATATTGGCACAACTTTATGCCAGGAGCCTGTTTTCTGGCTCTGGGTTGTTGTTTTTGTGTCCTCCCCTCAAAGGAAATAAGTTGTTATAGCTTCAGAATCTACTTTCTAACCTATTTATTTTGTTCAAGTAAATTTACTATTTACTGTAGGAGGTGTTAGACTTTCACTAAACCAGAATCTTGATTCTGTTACTATAAGTGACTTTGAATTACCTAATATTATAAAGCCATGAATCTCATAGAAGGGCAAGCCTAGTGTTATTTTTAGATATTGCACAAAGCTAGCATTATAAAGTGTTTATTGAGTGAATGAATACCTATACATATATTTTTATAGCTATATCTGCTATCTATACACCCATCATCAATACAAAGCTACACAAAAGTTCTAGAATCACGTTATATATGCAGCAGAGTTATGTTCACTGGAATAAGGGAGTGAAAATAAGTGTTTTTGAATAAATTTATACTTGAAAGTAGAGTTTTATAAAAGTGTCAATGTTACTAAATCGTATTTTTTTTCTAATTTGACAATGGGGCCTACTATTTTGCAGTAGTTGACTATTGGTTTTATACAGAATGATATGATATTCTACTGAGGTTGATTTGGCATTATTCTTTGTAAAAAGCAATACTAAGTCCATGTGACTCTCTTACCATTTCTGTGCTTTAACAATTGGCACAGCTTATATTTAACAGTTTCACTGATTGAAAGTTGTGGTATAATGATGCAATAATAATCATTTGTTGAGCAGCAGCATGAAAACCATTCTCAGTATGAACAAGAATCAATGTGTCAATCATTGTTTCCTCCCCTCCTCTGTCCCCTACCGAAAAAAGAGAAAGCTTAACAGTAGTTAGGGAGATACTGGGTTGAAATCTCTAAGGATGCTCCAACCTATTTGTTATGTTTTCATCCACACAGTCCTCGATGAAAAGTGGTGCGGTCTTAACCTATGACTGGCAGAAAGGCAGCGTCGGGGGCTTCTCTGGAGTCTGTGTAATGGTTCTGACTAACCATGCTTAACATCCAATTGCTATTTAAATCAGACAGCGAGGCCTTCTTAGGATATGACATTTGCTAGTCTGTGACTTGAATCTTTGTATCCGCCAGGTTCTTAATTTAGGAATAATACAAAGCCATTTGACTCTCAGTAGATCTTTGAAATCATAAGCTCAAAAAATGAGGATGGTGAGACTTTCCAACAGTCCCTGGATGCTCAGCATCACTCCCATGATGCAAAATAATGTTTGCTAGAATTAGGCATTTCAATTTATCAACCCGAAACATCCTGTTCATACTTGAATTTGTGAGGATAGATATCATTCTATTGTCCATACTTAAATATAACATTACTCATCATGCATTCTGATAATTTTCTTTTTCTTTTAATTTCTTTTGTATGTTCTCACCACACCATTGTAATGTCTACAGTTCGCCCTGTTGGTAAGTAGCCATCGTTCTATCCATTTAGCATGGCTTTGTACAATGCTTCATAAATCATGCATTTCAGGATTGATGGAATGAAACATGTTTATTCTCTGGTTTAAAAAATATTACTCGAGAGACTGTCTGCTATGAAAGTTGCTTCTGATCCATTCATCATCTGGGAAAAACATTTGTAGTGACTCTTGCTACCTAGCATGGAGTAGGTAATATGTTTTAAAGTAAAAGAATATGGTGATTATTAATATTCTTGGTTACTAACTTCCTTGAGAAGGGTAACATTTGTATAATACTTCCTTTTGCTTGTATTTATAAAACTTTCTTGTATTTTAAAAATTAGCTAAAGCAACTAAATTAAGAAGTTTTATTACTCAGGCATTTCTTTTCAACTAAGTTTCTTTGGGTTTCAGCTTGTGTTTCAGCTTTTTAGGGGTATTTTTAACTGCTACCTGTTTATTATCTGCATGCCTATTTAAACACATTTCAATGGAATGCTTCAGGTAATTGGAGGTCGATGCTTACACTAACAAGAGAGAGGAGGAATGAGCTTTGTTCTTCAGCATGAAAAGTTATTGTTTTGGCTTCAATGTAGCTCATCTTTCATTTGCTTTGCCTAATTGAAATAAGTTAAGAGCTTCTGCTTGCAGACATTTAAGTAGTGCTTCATTTGCAAACATTTGGAAGATGAAATTATTCAAATTAATTTAAAATATAACTTTTGCATCTCTTTTAAAGGTCTAGCTACATCAACCAATATATGTTCACCTATGTAAAAGATAACATGGTAATTGTGTTATACTTAAGTGAGAGATGGTGGCGTGAATGAATGAATAAATGAATAAATTAATTTAGTTAGTCACTTATTTAATGTACTAAGAGATGTTTTTAATACCTTAATTAGTTTGACAAATTTTAAAAACCATCTACCCATCTTCAAAACCCTTTTTCATTTACTGCTTTGGTATTATTGACATTTTATTTATTCTTGTCCAAACAATATTTTTTTTTCCTTTTGGTTGAAATAATCCTAGACTTGATTGTCATGTAGTATGCCCTTTTACCGATAGCAAAAGTAAGAAATAGAACTTCAAGCTTTTTGGGTTTTGGTTTTTGTTGTGTGTTTTTTCTGATGAAAATCTCAGTTCTTTAATTTCTGAACAGAACTACCTTGATTAGTTATGTAATATCTCTAATTCACAGTCATTTCATCGATAAAAGGGAACGAATCATGCAGATACAAGAACAAAATTAAGAACTTCTATTGAGCACTTCTTTACGTCTAAGTTCCTTTGAGTTTCAGCTTTTCGTTGTGGGAAGGAATTGAGCTTAAGATTGATGACATATGTGAAAGGTGTTGTGTATTCTAATATTGGCTAGTATATTCCGAGTTTCTGGGGCCTAGGTAATGTAAAATTATAATATTTTAGAAATATAATAGTTGTAGCATACAATTAATTTAAAAGCACTGTGCATTTTTCTCCTTGAAGCACAATTATTAAATTGATGGTGCTCTCTACCTGGTATTAAAAATTGAGAAACATGTTATTATAATTGTTCAACTGTATTTCATATGGCTGTGATATGGTGCCTAAAATTATGAAGAGAATGAGAACTAATCTGATATTAAATGGAAAAAATAATGATAGAATTGACAGTGTGATATATGCTCATGTTATAGAATCTCCTTCGCCCAGATCTGGTGACTCATTCCTTTATATGTCAAGTAAAACATAAATAATATAAATATAACATAATAAGGAAGAGACATATATAAAGCAATAAATAGGATGTTTTTTTTTGAATTCTTGAAGATTAATAAATTTATAGCTGTGTATTATTAGATATTGACCAAACCCACATCCACTGCCATCGAGTCCCTGCGACTCACAGCGACCCCCTTGGACAGGGTGGGACCGTCCCTCTGAGCTTCTGAGACAGAAACTGCCTGTAGCAGTCGAAACCCCTTCTGTCTCCCATGGGGCCACTGGCTGTTCGCACTGTGGATTTTGCCATTAGTCACCCAACACTAAACTGTGCCTTTGGCGTATCATGATTTTCGTGGAAAATATAATCACAAATAGTTGAGAACAATTTCTAGTAGAAAGGATAACGTTGACTATCCCCCCAATACGGATGGGCTGGTTGATCATTTTCATGAAATATAGGTAAATGATCTTGACTTTTTAAATGAACAGGAAGGATCTCACTGAAATTAGGTATTTTTGTAGATAGAAACGTTATTCCAATAATCCATGCTTGCTCGGTTTATCATAATTTACAAATTCCCAGAACATAGAACACTATGCTGACAACTCTCAATATGTTTAAAAATCATAGACAAAGGGACAAAAGAAACCCTATTGATTAAAAAGGGGCATGGAGATGTATCTGCCACTTGCAAGGCATTTCAAAAGTGTTTTTTTTTCCTTTTTTTTATTCTTGGTTGAAATGATTTTTTTTTAAATTCCCATTGGATTCGAACTAAAGAGTAGCTTCTGACACATTGTACTTTATTCTGGCAAAGTCTGTCATTTCATAAATCTCTCTCAAATGACTTATGACAATGCTCACACATATCAAGAGCCGTGCTTTAAACTTGACAACTACTATTAATTTTGGAAATAGAATGTGGCATATGCTTTTACTGGCTCACTATAGAGAAAATTATCTTGTTTTCTCATTATACTAACTCTTAGTTCTGTATGTATATATATGTGTGTGTGTGTATCTATCTATCATCTACCTACCTACCTACCTACCTACCTACCTACCTACCTACCTACCTACCTACCTACCTACGTGTGCGTGCACACATACATCACAATAAATTGATAAATACATAAAATAAAAAATACATACACACAGACCCAGGAGGGGGCTTCAAAAACGTGTGAAAAGAAAACCTATTATGTTTTAGTTCAATTTTTCCATTGGACATTGAAAGCCCTGTCATGGTGTGTCTTGGCTATGTTTTCCCACCAACATTGTTTTAAGCTTCCTCTTGTGTGTGTGTGTTATATGCATTTCTTTATTGTGATTTAGGTGAAATTTTACAGAGTACCATAGGGCCCTATTTAACAACCCTTTAACCAAGTGCTCTGTTTCATGTTTAAATTTTCACAATGTATCACCATCCTCATGACTTCCCTTCTGTCTGCTCTGCTTCCCCGATTTCTGTGTCGCTTCCCCTCCTTCGTGCTGCTTTCTCATCTCTGTTTCTCTGTCAATGTTAGCTGTGTCTGTATTTTTATTATAGGGTCACAATTAAAATAATTAATGAAAATGCAAATAAACAAAATTCCATATTTGATTGTCAGTGGGGGGAAAATGCAAGTTTCCCATCCTAGAAAATTATTGGGAGCTTAGCATAAGGGCTGCCAACGGAGTAAAGAACTCATTAAGGGGAAAAAAAACAGCCCTTTTAAATCACAGTATAAATTAGGTGAAGAAATCCATAAGTCCTGAGATAGGAAGTTGGAAAAATTCAGAGTGGCCCCCTCTCAACTGTTTTCAGAAGAAAACTAAGCCAACGCAGTTTCTTGAATCTAGGTGAACCCAGAAGCCAACCGCTGCCTTATATATCAGTTACATTCGATGACATTTCCAGGTGGTCTGAGTGGAGAGGCCCATTTGGAAATCGTTATAAACAGCCAATTGAAGTTTCTTTACAAAACGAATGACTATTAATACTGCATTAGAGTCTAAGTGTCTGCAGCTCTGTGCAGTTCACAGTTGGAATCGGCATCATGAGACCCATGCTTAGGAAATTCTAGGAACAAATCGAGATTTAAATGAGATTCCGAGTTGTATAACTCAAAGCAAACCATCATTTCCTGGCCAATGGAGGAAAAGAGTCCCTGGAGTTCCCTTGGTTGCCTTCAGGGTCATTATATCTCAAGACTAGCCCTTTAATCCAATTTCCATATTTCCAGTTAACACAAAATTTAGACACATGTCACTTTAACAACAAGAAAATCTCCCAGCTCTTCCTGTGGTTTTGACTTTCCACTGTGCTAAGGCATCCTTTACATGAGAAGCAAATGCCCAGCCCAAGGCAGAGTTACATATGACTGCTGAAGTATACACGTGTTTATCTGGAAAACTTCTGATGAGGGAACTGACAGGGGGAGAAATGGGGATAAATAACTTGCTTCCTATACCCATCTGTTTTATTTTCTATTGGAAGCATTTATAAAACTTAAAAATAAAAAGAACATCTATTTTGGAGATGGGCAACACATTTTTTTCCTAGCAGCAACTCAAAGCATGATGAGTAATTTGGGAAAAAATTGTCAAATCTACCAGCTGTCTTGCTCTTAAATCTGCGCTCGGCTTAGTTTTGTGCTTTATATACCATATGCTAGATGCTGATTGCCTTAAGTATGGAAACTGAAATCTGAGCATATCAGGTGAAATGTGTCTAAAATATCAACAAAAACTGACAACATGCAACTTTATGGAAATTTAGAAGCTTCCCATAATTTGATGACTCAAAACGATGTCTATTTTTGATAATGCCTTGTAACTTGCCACACAAGCATTTGTAAGTACTGAAAACATTCTAAATACCAGGCAACATTCCACATTTTTTATTATTATTTTAAAGAAGCCACCACTATTCTGAATAGACACCTTGTAGGGTCACATTTTTCTCAGTGACTAAACATAAGAATTAATATGTGCCCCCATTTTAGAAAGTTTTATTTTATCAGTTGAAATTGTGTTTTGCTTATGACAGGAAATAAAACATTATATTCTTGAGGCCACCAGAGAGCCAATAAAATGTGGGTAATCAAAATTTGGTGTCACAAGATTGTATTACAAATCAGATGTTGCCTAAAAAATATTATGGCTGATATTTGCCATGCCCACCTCTTCTCCTAGTATGTGGAAAATTTAGTGCACAGGATTTAACACTGAAATATTTGCAGTTCTATTTATTTTTTGAGTCAGAAAACATGTGAGGAGTCTGTAAGAGCCCTTTTATGCCCAGACCACTC